GGGTCGTTACCCTAAACACGGATGTTAGAATACCTGAGGCATTTCCGCAGTTGGCTGTGCAACCCCAAGCATATTTCGAGGCACCGACAATGCACCGTGGCCTAGAGAGAACGGGAGCGGGCGGGAAGTGTGTGCTCTGACGGGGCAGGGCCCGTCACTGAGGCACGTGCCACCTGCAGGAGACTGCGTGAACAAAGAACAGCAAGAATGACGCTGAGCAAGGCTGAAGGCTCTGCCCACAGAAGACCAGAGTCGAACCTGTGAGACGCCCTGCGCTCTGTCTCCAGAGGTACAGACGAGATCTGTTCGTGTGTGCACGTCTGTTCCCACGTGTGATCGAGCTGGCCACCCATCCATCAACTCAGCTCCTCGAAGATCTACCCACCCACCCATCCACCCTGCATCCACCCACCCATCCATTCTCCATCCACCTACTCATTCATCTACCCTCCACCCATCCATCTTCCATCCATCCACCCTGCATCCACCCACCCATCCATCCGTCCTCCATCCATCCACCCATCCACCCACCCAGCCATCCATCCATCCATCTTCCATTCACCCATCCACCCACCCATCCTGAGTGGGGTTCCAGCCTTTTGGAAGAACAGCCACTTGCATTTAAGTCACTTTGTGAACTACAAAGTGTTCTCATTTAAAGCCGCCCTGTCCGGCCCGCACGTGGTTCGCTGAGGGTAGCGTTCCCATCTCACAGGTAAAGCAACCCACTCGGACGGGGAGGGCCGGGCTAGGCAGGTGGCCGGCGAAGACGGGAGCCCGGCGTGGAGACCCCAGACACAGTGCTGCCCTCGCAGCTGCTTTCCCGGGCACAGAGGGGACCCCACGAGCTGCACGCACACCCCATTTAGGCTCGATCACCAGGCTGTGACTGCTAACAAGATAAAGCCAACACGCGTGGCATGGGACCACCCAGCTCTACGAAGTAGTGGTAAAGAACTTACTTGTTTTTAAAGACAAACAAGATCTAAAAAGTTATTCTCAGAATCAAAGGGCCGTATCGACTCCTTCCAGGCTGACGACGAAGAACAAATCCCACGAGCGCTGCGTGCGGCACAGCGAGGCCAGCGGCGGGGGTGCGGCCGGGCTGCCGGGGACTGTCCCAGGCACGGCGAGGCCAGTGGCCCTTTCCGTTGGCCTCCTGCCGGCAGGCGCCCGGGCCGCACACGACGCCCACTGAGCGGGGCTGGCAGCTCAAGGCCTGTCCAGCCCGGGCTCCAGTCGGCCGCCTCCTTCTCCACAACGCGCCACTTCCCTGTCCACCCCGTGTCCCCACCCAGCGTTCTGCGCAAACGTGCGGTGGCGGCGGCTTGGATGAGGAAGGAGAGGACGGCGGCCCAGATGCGTGACCGCTGTGGACACGTGCCACGTCCCCGGCCTCCAACTGCAGCCGAGACCAGCAGCGCTGGCTCCTCCTGGCAGCGGGGAGGCCGGCCCACAGACTCCGGGGCGCGACGCGGTGCCCCCGCCCGCCCCCCAGGAGACCGAGGCGTCCCTGACATTAGAGAGCAGCCGCCCTGTGACGTGGGCTGCAGGGTGAAAGGCGCCACTCTCCACGGCGGCAGTGTGGGCGCCGTAACCTGCGAAGGAGCCGCTACTTACCGCACGCCCACATGTCCACTGGCTTCCCATAAGGGTCTTTGCGCAAAACCTCTGGAGACAGGTACCCGGGTGTGCCGGCGAAACCTACGGAGACACAAGAGGTGAGGCCAGGCGGGACCGGCCGGGGACCGGCAGGCTCGGGGAAAACGCTTCGTCTGTGCTCCTGTCCGAGGAGACGTTGGCCCGGCGGTGACGAGGCCCTCGGCGCCCTGGGGTGAGGCAGACCGGTCTCCAGTGGCATCAGCGCCGCCCGCTCCTGCCCACAGCCCAGGGAGCAGTCCGCGTGCCTGCCGGATGCGCGGCCGACCCATGGCGCCGCAGACCCCGTGAGCACCGCAGCCGCCTGCTCGGCCCCTCTTCCCGCACGTTCGTGGGCGTCAAAGCCCAGCCGCGGAGCGGGGAGCGCGCAGCAGGCAGACCGCGAAGGCGCCGAGGAGCAGCAGACGCAGGAAAGGCCGGAGCCACCGAGCAGGGCAGGGACGGCCCTCTGGCGGGAGGCGCCCTGGTCGCTGGAGGCGGCCGGTGCTGTTTGTGCAGACACCCCAACCTTCCACCGGGCCCGTGGGGCCCCGGCCCAAACCCGCCGTCCCTGGTCACACCTCCGTCCATCCCCTGTCGAAACGGGGCGTGAGCCCCGGTCCCGTCTCTCTCCCCGTCTTCTTTTCTAGGAAGGCCTGTGAGCGCGTGAAGATGAACGCACCAACGCCAAGTAAAGGTGAGTGCTCGCCTCCCGGCCGGTCAGCTCAGTCCACGGCCAGGCCCCGGAGGAGGAGGGAGAAAACGGGAGGGGTCAGGGCCTCGTGGGACACGACAGCTCCATGACATCCGCAAACCTCATCATGAGACACTCGCCCGTAAAGCGCAGGCCCGAAGTGCAGGCCGTGAGAGCAAGTTTAACCCAGATTTTCAGCAGATCCCTTTGAAAGTGGGGTGGCTCGTGGGGTTGGGGGGTGACGAGTGACGGAAGAACTCGCTAGGAGGTACAGGAGCTCGCTGTGTGCCGGTGACAGCCAGTGGGGGCCCATGGCGGCAGCGCACGCCGGGACCCCGAGCACGGCAGACAGGCCGGCGTGGCGGGGACGCTGGCCGAGGACCCAGGCACAGTTGGCGTCGTGTGAGACGGAGCCAGCGAGGGGCGCGGGAGTCACCGCAAGCTCAGGGCTGGAGTCTGCAGTGCACCATTTCTCCTGACTTCTGAGAACAGCAGTTTCCAAGTAAAACATTGACTTACAGAAGCCGGAAAAGAACGTCTCATTTGTAAGTTTCCTTTAAAGGCGGGAAAACTCTCTGAAAGGACGCAGGGTCGGGAAATCGCTGACGAAGCACAGTGCTGACCGGGCAAGCCCCGCCCCCCAGGGCAGTCACACGTATTCAGGACAAACACGTGCAGGGCAACAGGGGCAGCTCGTGGGTAACGTAAGGGCTTGTTCCTCCTCCCGGCAAGAGGGCCCTTCCACGAAGCAGGACCGTGGTGGCTCCCGTCTCCCCGGCAGAAACGCCTGCACGCAGCGTCACCCCCGCCCCCACGTGGCTGTCTCTCAGTGGAAGGCGTTCCGGCCGCCTTCACAGGAGTCGTGACAGGGACGTTGTTCTGGCCCATATTCAAATATCGTGGCCAGCGAGAGAGAAGAACGTGGGGAAAACAAACGTTTGGCCTTGAAAACGATCATTAAAAATCCAAACCCAAAAAGCACTTTCCATGATGCCTATACGGTTTTATCTTTCTTATTTGTAAAGACTTTTTACATTTAATAAATAAAACTACGTAGACACCTGGAGCTCTGGCACTTTCCCAGGTCCCCGAGACCCCCGAGCGAGCCACGCCCTTCAAGAGGACACAGGGCCCTCTCCTGCTCGCTGTGCGCTGCACTCAGCTGAACCCGACCCCTCGTCTGGCCTGCGGCTCTGCACGTGCCCAGTCCTCGGGGCTGCCTTTGTGTCCCGGCTCGCCAGGGGGCAGACCCTCCTTCACCCAGGAGGGAGGCGGGAGTGTCACTCATCGCTGACACTGTCCCCGAGGCAGCATGTCACACCTGCTGTCCCGTGTTGCACCCGTCACAGTGAGCCATCACTGATGGCCAGCGTCAGCGTCTCCAGGCCCAGGACCTGCTTCTAGTCTGTGCCTCTGCCCACCTTGGTGACAGGTCTGCTGCTTCCTGTTGGCCCCTGTCCCCTGCTGTGTGCTCTTTCTCTACGTCACGCACACTGTGACCCAGGACGCAAAGCTGTCTGTGAGGCGCAGGCTTATGCAGCTGACCTAGCTTCTGCCTTGCTCTGGTTGCTGTGAACAGTATCAATTTTCTGCTGTGTCAAAACGTGATGGACCCCGGGCCAGGTCTGGAGGTGTGAGGCTGCCCGGGCAGGCGAGAGAAAGGGAAGAGGCAGCACTGAACGGGAGAGGTGGGGGGTTGGGGGGAAGGGGGGGTCAGGGACCAGGGCTGCAGCCAGGCGCCCCGACACGGGGCAGGCAGGAGAATGTGAGGCCCTCGCCCGGGCCGCCAGCACGGGGACGGGGTGCGGGGACGGGGTGCAGGGACGCTGCCGGGCCATCCCCTCCGGGACCCAGCGGGGCACACGAGGAACCGGGCGGTGGGCTGGCAGCTCCGTGCACATCTTAGGAGTCGTGTGGGGGTGGGGACACAGAGACGCGTCTGCGCACAGACGAAGGAGGCCAGCGCCCTTCCAGCTCTTTCCGCTTCTGCTCGTTCAGAGGGAAAGCAATGGGAGTGCAGGCGTTCCAGGTTCTCGTCCTGTCTCAACATAGTGAAGCCAGAAGAGCAGATGGGCGGCCAGAGGCCCTGCTCTCGGATGCCATGTGGGGGACGGGGTGGGGGTGCTGGCAGTAGGCAGGGGCCTAAGTCGGGTATGACAGTCGTTCAGGCTACACCCTGCGGCAATCTGCAAATTGGAAATGCTAAGGTTTAAATTTCATTGGGGTTAATCTCTTCCTTAACTGTAAGGAAACAAATTTCAAAGTTATAAAAATTTTAGAGAGGAAAGTGGCACTCTGGAGGAAGAAGATAATCAAGATGGAAATATACATGTTTTATAGCATTTTTGAAACGTTAATTTCTGTTAATCACGAAGACACGCAAAACGTCGTGAGTGTTCCCTGCGGACCTGCTGTCTCCGTCACAGTTCTCAGCACCGCGATTTCCCCACGAACGGAACACGCACTGAGCACTGCGGCCGCCTTTGTCATTCTCAGCACTGGGTCCGTTTTCCTCTCATCTTTCACGAAAAAAGTCTACGCGTTATTGCTCTCCCGTGGACACTTTCTCCTAAATTATTTCTTGATTACATCCCCTCTGATGTCAGGAAAGCTACGTGCTTACAGAGGACCAGCAAGTTCAGACTGTCGAGCTGCGGGAACGAGCGCCTCCGCCTCCTCCGGGTTAGGAAGTGGGGGTGTGGGGGGCGTACTCACCAAACCAGGCCTGTTGGTCCCCTTGAACTTCTATGGCCAAGCCGAAATCTGCGAGTTTCACAGCCGCTCCCTTAGATTTGCTAGCTAAAAGCAAATTCTCAGGCTTTATTTAGAAAAAAAAAAAGACTCAAGTGAGAACAGATTTTTAAGTGAATTTTGAAACTAACATTTTATAAGATTAGGGCAAAAAAAAAAAAAAAGGGCATGCACTGTCCTGGCCCAGAGACTGTACTCAAGCCCCAGGGGAAACGCGGTGAGAAACGGTTAAAGGTGGTCAGGCGTGCAGGTCCAGCGGGCGCGTGAACGTGCAGGGTGCGGGGCGCGGGCCGTGGACACGCGAGCACGGGCGCCTCAGCGGGCGGCGGGGAGGACCCCGCAAAACGGCAGCAAGCGCTGGGCCACCTACAGACATTTGGCAAATGACACTGTGCAAATTAAGCTCTAGCCGACGCCGAGTTTGGACCCGAATGCAGTGATTTTGATCCCCCGATGTTTGCAAACAATTTCTGTGCAGATTTCGAGTCTTGCTCTGAATTATGCGTTAAATTTGCTGTCTTTAAGAATCTGTTTATTCTTAAAGGCAGAAAGAGTGGGCTCCTATTTGCCAAATGTTATAGTTAGCTTTTTTTTCTTTATAGGACAGTTTTTGAAAACATAATTTACATGTGTTCAGAGTGTGATTCAAAGCATTGCTTGCGTATTTATTTTTACCTCCTGAGATACTACGACAAAGATGCGTTTTTCTCTTCCTGGGTTCTGAGCACTACAAGGACCGTTAAGTCCGCCTTGGAGTGAGGCTGCTTACAGCCCACTGCTTCCCAGCCAGGCACTGAGACACACTGGCCCTGGACAAGTGCCAGGGCCAGCCCTGAATGTCCCCGGGCCGCCTCTGCATTTGGAGAGCTAGGAGGAGAGGAGGGCCAGGAAAAGGAGGCTGACGGATGAGCAGCGAGGCCTACCCCTCCCCCGGGGTCCAGAGACACACGCGGCAGAGCAGTTCAATGCCCCCCACCTTGGGGTGAGACTCAGCACAGTTAGGGGTGTGTCTCAGTATGGAAAAGCTGGGAAACAATGGCCTCTGCAAGAGCCAAAATAATTGTCTGAAAATCTTAAAATTCAGCCAATCAAGTCGGTTCTGCTTCTATGGTTACAAATAGCCAATCTCGTATTTTTTTCATGAAACTGGCTACTTTTTTTCCTCACTGAATTAGTTGATTCTTTTGGTTGTTTTGACATTGTATAAAAAGAGCCTAAACCAACATTTAATGGATTAATTAAGCCAGCCATGCAAATTAGCAGAAGACTTGTCTACAAGAAGCTTTAATCAAGCACCAGACTTCTTGAGGCCACTGCTGTCCACTGCCATCAGATTCATCGCTATCGGGACAATTGCAACCGCAGGAAACCTCCGTAATTTGGGGAGCGGGAGGATTCTGAATTATCTCAACACTAAGCACGTGATAATTTAATTTGGACATTGGGATGAAAATGTCTCAAGAATATGAAAGACCTCCGTGATGAAATAACGTTTAGCAAAACCCAACATTCAAATTACTTGGAACTCTGGCTGTCTGTCAACGTACTATCATATCTTGCCATGTTACGTTATTGATATTTGATATTTTATTTTCCCAACTAACCTAAAATTTATGGCCCGCCCCATTCATGCATTTTCTAATTTAATCAAGAAGTCATTTCCAGCGCGTAACTTATAGGATAAATAACTTGGAAAAACCTCATCAAACTGTAGGCAACAGTTCATTTCCTTGCAGCCTCCACACTGGAGAGCACTGAGCTGTCGGGGAGCACTCCGTGAGCGGTCTGCTCTGCCGCGCGGAGGCCAGCGCCGTCGGGGAGCGAGGCTGCTGAAAATCCTCCGCTTTCACTCTCCCCGCTGAGCCGAGCAGTTTCTGGGCAGAGCTGTGTGCCTTACGCCCGAAAGCAGCAGGAGCCCCCCAACTCAGACGGGCCGCTCAGGCCTCACCACGCACGGCCTGAGTGAGCCCGGGTGGGCACGCCTGGGGATGACCAGGCAGGCCTCCCCACGGGGCCTGGTGAGTCACGCAGGAAGTCACAGGCCCGTGTGCATCAGTGTCTCGCCCCAAGCGGGTGTCGACTGTTCAGCTGCAGTTAAGGGCGGGGGAGGGCAGGGCCACTTCGGCGTGCGTGGAGACCGAAACGGCAGCACCGGTATGGCTTCATGCGAAGGCTCCCCTCGGGCAGAGCTCCAGGCCACGGAGTGCCACCTAAAACATCTGACGGCTACGGCCGTCGCTGAAGGGTTATTTGCTTTAGGAAATGTTTCCTCTCAAGACTGCTTCTCACGGCTTCAATGAAACTTTAAAAAATATCACACAAATTTGACTTATATATAACTCTTCGGAATACGTCAGGTTGCGAAATCCCGTTATCATACGCTGCCACTGACACAGCCCCGCCTTCAACACAGATCGTGCTGTGGACGGTCGCAGCAGGCGGGGGAGCTGGTCCCGAGCCTCGGGCGGGGAGGCCGCCGTGGTCGTGCTTCAGAAGCTGAGCGCAGAGCCTCCCGTCTAACTGGCGGCCACGTCGTAAGAAGCATCGCCACTGTGCTCTCACTCGCTGCGGCCCCACTGTTCTGATCCGCTCGAGCGAATGAAAGGCGGGCTCAGAAACGCAGGTCTTCCAGAGCAGCGACGCTGGGCACGGGCCAGCTCCGCGGGGGCCCGGAGAGAGGGTGACACCCTGGGTGTGTCCTGGGCCTCGGCAGCCCAGAGGCTCTCGGAGCCAAGCGGCTGGACCCTGCACTGTGCGCACACCATGAGCGCAGCCTGCGTCTCCCAACAGCGAAAGGGAACGGCAGGACCCCCCGGGACGAGCGCGCATCGGGGGGAGCCGTGACCCTCCGAATAGCCTCGCCGAACGCTGGGTGTGAAGAACGTCCCGCTTGAGGAACCGCTGGGTTCCTGGACCGGGTGCAACTATGCGAATCTGTGTGTGGAGATTCTCTCTCAATTCCTGTGACGCAGCCACCTGCCAGGCTGGTTTTCAAGTTGACCCCACAGACACGCTCGCACCTAAGACGCAGGGCTCCCCATGACATCTGGCCTCAGGGTCAGCAACTGTCTGCGGCACGTCAGTGGGACCGAGCAGCAACGGTCGGCAGGTCCTGTCCCGTGTGTCCACGTGGACACACGGGCCGCTTCTCCACTGTGCTCTGAGACTCGTCTCAAAACTGCTTGCGTATCACGAAGTGCCAAGTCAAGGCGCCGGGGTCGCAATCAGGACCGTGGGAGGTCTGGGGGTAAAGCGAGTCCAAACGGGTGCAGCAGAGACACAGGGCCAGGCCCCCGGACGCCCCCCTGCCGAGGGCGGGTTGCTGACAGACGACAGCTCTGCCGGTCCAGAGGGTGGCCCACCCGCAGGGCCCCGCAGGAGTGAAAGCTCGCCAAGATATCTGCTGCCCACATTCAAACGAAGCACAGGACAAACACGAAAAAGACGGCGTTCTGAACCTCAGGAACGCGTACGAGGACTTCCAGGTCGGCAAGGCCTTTCCGGGGGGCTGGCTGGGCGGGCGTGGTGACAGGCGTCATTGCCGGCCACACCGCAGACCTAACTGCACGTGTGGCAGCTACACAGCAATGAAACGCAAACATCGTGGATGTTCACATGTAGCGAAAAATCATGTTTTACTTTTTTCTTTATGAGTACTACGAAAACAGCAAGTTATTACTTTTATTTTTCCATATCATTTGCTTCGTACAAACCCCTGAATATTACGGTTTAAGAAGTGAAACTGTCTTTTTAGGTTCTTTCTTCTGTGGAAGCCTCGGCATCTCGACGTGAAGCGACACCCCGTGGCTTTGGCGTGCTCTGTCGCTTTTCCTTTGCCAAAGAAGGCGTGAGCACAGCTCCCAGAGAGACACTAAGTGGAGTTCACACTCGTGCACACAGTAGATGTTCTTTTGTGCACGCAGCACAGATGGCTGTTCCACTCAGACGTGGAATGGTGCCTGAACTGTGTCCTTAGCATGCAGAGTCTCCAGCTGACGCACGTGCTGTCGGCCTGCGATCGAGAGTCCTGTCACCATGCGCACGTGAGCGAGCTCGCATCACTCCGCGTTCCATTCTGTCTTGATTTTTTACACTATCAGCACACACCATCAGGTAGACTGAAAAAAGGTGTGCACAGCGGGGCTGCACCAGTAACGCAGTGTTTCCCTGACACGCTAGGCACTGCGTCCCCGGCCCGAGGTTGGCAAGGGTTTACTGAATATGTGTCGGGCTCCCCCCAAAAATGACTTCCCTTCGTTGCTGGTCATAAATTTAATTTTATTCCTATGAAAAAGAGTCTTTAAAATCCCCCTATGTCTCTGGAATTATCACCTTTGTTAAAATATCTTCATCCGTCCGTCTGTCCATCTATCCCATACCCTCCCTCCCTCCATCCAAAAACACTGCTCTGCAGGAGGCTGGTCTAGGAGAGGCGGTGTTCTCACTGAGGTGATTCCCAGGTGCCGATCTGTTGCCGTAAGATCCAGCAGTGGGACTGGACCCTCCGGTTCTGATGGCTGCGTGACGTATTGAGTAACTCCTTCCGACATGCTCTGAACTGAAGACGTCTCGCCTCTTGGTGTGAAAGGCAGTTGTTGGAACAAGCCCAGCTCTGAAATTGTCTCCTCGGACTTCTTCCCAGAAACGGCTCTCCAGGCTCCCTGACGAGAACACGTGACTCTGCATTCCTGTTTCCCGTGACAGCGGGGCTGCCACTTGTCACTACGGCCTCTTTTCGGCCTATCACCTTCCTGGACGCGGTGCCTGCCTGAGGTCGCCCTTCCTGCCAAGAAGGGCAGCCCTGGTCGTCTTCCGCGTGTTTTTTCAATGACTTCGAGCCGGTGGCCGCGAGGGTCTGCTCACGACTCGCTGTGATTTATACCCGCGGCTCGCACGGGGCCTTTGTGGGGCTCGGACGGGTCCGGGGGGTGTTCGCTCTTCTCCTTCTGCACCTGCATTTCCCCTCGTCGGTTCCCGACCGCCTGACACGGCGTCCCAGGAGCCCGCCCTCGCAAACGCTCTACTTGTCGGCGTCCAGACTGCCTGCCTTGCTGTGGCCCAAGTCCACTGTGGCAAGTCGTTCTGCTCTGCTGTGCACCTCACGTTCTGAACACGTGGCCGAGGCCACTGACCCCCGAGCCCCTCCGCCGGAAGCCTTGACCTCGCACGCCGGCCCGCTGCCCAGACGCGCCGCCCCCTCCTCTCGCTGCATCTGGAACACGCCTTAGCCTCTTATTCGCACGGACACGCTCTGCACAGCTCTGGGGACGCGCAGGCGGGATCGGAAGCGTTTCCTGATTCACTAGACTCAGAACCACGTCCCAGATCATTCTTGGTGTTGCTGGCAGATTTATTTTCCCAACATTGTTTCACCTGTGATGGTTTTCAATTCACTGAACTAACTGAACTGAGAAGTAGCAGCAATTCGGCCTGTGACCCTGGACCCCACACCTGAGCACAAGGACGTCGTCCTAGCCGAGACGCCCCGAGCACGGCCTGCCACTCGAGGTGGCCATGTCTCCCCCTGAGCGGCACGGGGCCGTCCAGGCGCCTTCCGCGTGAAGCTGCTGTGAAGACTCACGTGACCGCTCAGCACAGGGGACGTGGCGGCTGCTGGACAAGGGGCCGCGGTCGCCGTCCCCACTGCAGCTGAGCAGTCGCGGGGCGGGCTGGTGGCGCTGTGCCGGGGGCACTCACCTTCAGGTCCCGGTGGACCACGGCTGTCTCATGGCAGTGCAGCACAGCCTCCAGGGTCTGCTGAATGCAATGACTGCACGCAAACACCAGGGGCAGCGTTAGTCCCGAGCGGCACCCGCGGCCGGGGACCGCGTGCCAGCCGGCAGGGCCCTGGGCCGCACGGATTGCTCCAGAAGAGTGACTACCACCTCGGGACAGTCGGGTCGTGCCAGGCGGGGGCCAGAGTGAGGCCACGTCTTCCACAAAATCCATCTGGAGGACACTTCCCCTACCCCAGGAGCTCCTGCCCTTGTCATGAGCACTTAGAGGAAATAAACGGGAGCATGAAAGTAACGTGCAGCCGCTGTGCTCCGCCGCCACCCCCGTGACAAAGCGGGTCCCCGCTGTCACCCATTTTTCTAGTGGCGTGCCAAAGCCGTCACATTGGCGCTAAGGCTCCATTAAGGTCATATTAGGACACCTAATGCATTTTTGGCACGCCGGTACCTTCCGGTGTTCTGATTTAGCTGGCAGTTATGACCTCTTGCCTGAAGGCTCGTCAGACTCAAAGGGAGCAATGCGCGGCCAGTGTCCTGCTGGCGACAGGCGGCCCCACACAGAAGTGCGGCTTCATCCACAGGCGACACACATCATAGGCCACCGGCCTCCGGGCAAAGGCTGGCGGTCTCGGGGAGGCGGCCCCCCGCCCCCGCCGGCTCCCCG